GAATCATCAGTGAGTCAGAAGAGTGCAGAAAGGTAGAACCAAGTGGTGAGGGGATGATCTGAACCTCCTGGTAGAAATGAGGTGTTAAATCACCTTGGTTGTTTCATGAAGTCTTTTGTGGTAGAAAATCACAAAGACAATCTAAATGTTCAAAAGGTTAAAGAGCACACTGGTGAAGAAAAATTGTTGGCAGTGCCTGGAACTGTCATTTTGCTTCAGCATACAAAGTTATGTCTTACATAAAAGCAAGATTTTATAGTTTATGAGTACTGTAAAGTCCCTGGAAATCAGCGATACTAATTTTTAAGCTTCTATAGAAGAAAAGTTTGTGTATTAAAAATCTACACTAACTCAGAAATACAACTTCCATTGAATTCAGAAAGGATTGTCATCTAATGACTTGCCATACGTTTTTTTTTAGGGTGCGTTTAGATAACTTCTGTTGCAATAAGAGCAAAGAAATACGAGTCTAATTGTGTCTGTGCTGTGCCTTTTCCTTTTGACTTCCATTGAGACACTGATACCCCAGTTTTGAATGTTTCTGGTGTTAATGGTGCCCAGTGGAAGCAGCTGTGGTGGTTTAAGATGCTCCTTTCCCTGTCTTCTGGAAGTAAGAGTTTAAGAAACAAGTTGGTGGTGACTTAGCTGTCTTAATTCTCATTCCAGCATCTTGGCTCCAGTCACTTCTGTTCTAACAGTTATGGTAGCTGAGAACCTTTGCCACCTCTAGAGGACTGAGAACCTCTGAAAATGAGTAAACATCAGTAATATCTCAATTAAAGCGACCGAGTTCATGAGCCCACATAAAGAAGAGATAGCAGCACTAGGGCCATGCATAGCTAATGAGTAAAACAAATCCGAGAGATTAAAACAGGGTCAGAAAGCAAAAGACATGAAGTAGGTACATTGTCAAATAGATAGGAAGAAACTAAAGTGCTCCAAAGTCTAGAGCCACTTTTTTCTTTTTCTCCAAAGGTGAGCAACGCTGTTACTGTAACAGCTTCTGGTCGAGTCGTGAAAAAGCGTTTTAACTTACTGGATGATGACCCAGAACAAGAGGTAACCAATGTAGTGAGTAAGAGCAGTTCATGGATTAAGATGTTTAGCTAGTCCAAAGTCATTCTTGTTTCAGGTGCAGTGGCTGTAACCATTAGCTGTGTTAATCTTTGAGTTCTTTATTCCTCTTCTGTGACTGTCTTTGTCTTCTTAACTTCTAATTACTTAATTTCCCCTCTCTGTCTGTCATCTCTTTTCCTTGGTTGACATTTGTGCTTTGCATAGTCTCTTTCTTTTAAGAACTGATCTTATGCCCCATGATGCCGTTGTAACTCTGTGTGACTTCAGTGGCACAGAAATGAGATGTTAATGTGACAAACCATTACTCTTCTGTCCATTCAAGCATTACCTTTAAACATTTCTTATAAAGCATTTTATGAAATGAAAGAAACATATTTCTTTTTTTCTCTGCTTTAGGTTCCTCTAGTCTTTGATATAATATCTCTATAAGTAAACTATATTTTTGTCTCCCAATTACTTCGATTGGATTGCAGGATAAGGTATTTACCACTTTTAAGTAACAACTTCTTGAGAGTGGAAACACCATGTGCCTTGGTGTTGAGTCTTCAAGAGGTTATGAAGAATATTTTTTAGCTCTCTATCTAGAGCTGGAGCTGTAATTGACATAAGTACAACAGTTAAAATTCATCAGTTTCTGGCAGTCATTTTTATTCTTTTTTCTGAGGAAATAGATTTTACTATGGTAAAAATACAGGACAGTCCAATATAACCCTTAAGGTCTGCAGTTCATTTCTATCCACTTTTTTTTTTAAAAAAGCATAATAAAAATTACGAGTCTGAACACTATTTTTTTTTCCTGCTATTACACTTTATTTGTGATTCCAGTAGATATTTTCCATTATGGAAGAAAAAGACTGGCTTGAATTTTAAGGATTACGTTACCAGGTTCATAACAATGAGATAGAGGCAATGAAGGGAGTTCACAATCTCCACCTTTTGGTCTCAGTTCTTCACTGTCACATACTCTGCGGAGCGAGAGAGAACTCTAAACAGAACATGCAGGTGTTCATGTGAATAGAATTACCCTAATATACTCATCCCCTCAAAACCAGTAACGGTTTTAAGCTATGTCTGCTTCAAGAGAGGGCATGGAGTTATAAATATGTTTCTTCTGCCACTTTCAAAGTACTTTTTTCTATTTCCTGTATGATACATATAAAATATACTATATATAAAATATACTTGCACATTAGGATTGTTCAGAACATCACTTTCTTCTCTCCTGTCTTAAGAAATTTTGCTGAAATACGTGGGGCAACTTGTGTTGGGAAAGATGCCTGTTGGGTATCTATCAGGCTGGCAAAGTTTTCTTTATCAGACCAGAAGACTTAAGAACTACAATTTTTCCAATTCTGCTTTCACCTGAAAGAGCTATGCAGTTTAGGTAGAGGGGAATGTGAATTGCTTGATTTGTAAACTTGAGGTTTTGTTTTTCCTAAGACATTCAAAATTGTGGACTATGAAGATGAATTGGATTTGTTATCCACTGTGGCAGTTACTCAAATAGGAGCTGATGGAAGAGCTCACCTTGACTTTCATTGTAATGAACATGGGATTCTACTTAAGAGTATTCCATTACTGGAGTCCTGGGATGTGGTAAGAATTCCTGTCTTTTGTTTACACTAACACTTCCCCATACCCATTTACCTACCATTTTTGTTCAGATTTGAAGCAGATGTATAAATAGTGTTGCCAAGTGCTATGGATGAGATTTGTACAAAATAATAATTATAACTCAAAAATTTTAAGTATTCCATCAGACAGCAGTTCATTTATATGAAAATCTCCATGATTTGAAATTAAGATATATTTTTTTTGTTGGTTGATTTGTTTGGTTTTTTTGGCTGGGCAGGGGGTTGTCCTTAGATATTTCTGAAGTATTTATCAACTTGAATATTTACCCTCTGGCTAGTTACATCAGCTTAACTTTACAACTTATAAATAGTCTCACTAGCTTAACCTGAACTACTCACGCACAGAATTAAGCATGGACCTCGCTATGTGTATATTTGGAGAGATGGAATGGGCTGTTCATATAGTCCAAGTTTAGGCGGACATCCGACCAAGATACTCTGAAATATTCAGCACCTTTGGCACCTCTTTTATCGTTGACTGTATAGGTAACTTAGGATCCTAAATCAGATGCTCTGAATTGCACTTAGATTCCTAAAATAGGCACGTGGGAAACCTCTCAAAGTTTTACAACACTGTCCTTTCTCTGGAGGAGCAGTCTGTGTGTATGCACACAAAATTCCTGTCTGATCATGGAGGGCACCAATGTTAAATATTTTTTGTTCCCCAAGGAAAATGGTAGGGGTATTGGCAAGTCATGGAAATGGAGACTGCAATCAGAATTTTTTTTTTCTCATTTCAGACTTACAGTCATGAAGTTTACTTTGACAAAGACCTTGTATTACATATAGAACAGAAGCCTAACAGGAGGTTCAGCTGTTACGTTTACCAGATGGTCTGTGATACTGCAAAAGATGATAAATTTTCAAGCCATGA